GAGGTATATGTTTATTTTTTCTATGGCTTGCTGTTTTTTTGCCTAATTTCTTAGGCACTGTGTGGCTAGGGAGTGGAGAGGCACACCTTGTACACTCACTATTGGTGGTGAACTTTTCCGTATTTGGATTAATTCCTTGTGTTTATTATATGCTTCCGTATTGTATTAATAATATGTGGTTATTTGTATTTGTATTGGTTCTTGTAACTGACAACCTTTAGGTCCGAATTATAAATTATATATGTGATCTATCGCTTTTCTCTGGAAAATAAAATAAAAATCTATTCGCTTTGGTTGACTATATTGCATAGTTTTTCTATATTGTACTTCACTAGTGAACATTTAATGAAACGGTCAATTCAATTAGGATAAGTGTTACCTGTTTGTTAAACAAACAAATCAACGTCCTATTCTGTTAGTTAACAAAAACATTTCCTTGACCTAAAACTTAGACCAAAGTGGTCTTAATGGTGATGTATAATATGGTTCTTAGTTGCAGAAAATGAATGGACAAAAAGAGAATAAATGTTACACGATTAAGTTAAAGAGCTTCAGACGCATCTTGAAATGGACCAAGAAGAGAACTAGCGAGAGAGAGAATAGTCCAAGTCCCTCTCAAACAAATTGTGACCAAAATTTGATGTCAAATGCTTTTATGGTCCATGCATGATCGAACAAAAGTTACACTAGAGACAGCTCCATTATATTCTTGCATGTAGAGCTTTCCACTATTTTTACTTTAATTTATTTTCTAATTAATTTTGATTTTGATTTTTTTTTTGGAACTTTTAGGGATCACGTTGGCACCTTCCTTTCTCATTTTGGAATAATGTACGTTTGCATTGACATCCACTTTATGGCACCAAAATGCCGATCTAGTGCAAGGCCAAGGTCACTTTCATTTGAGATAGCTATTGAGTTATTGATTATTTCAGAAAGAAATATAGAACATGTAGGCCTTCGTGTACTTTAGCTAAATTCTCCTCCTACACACAAAGAATGCATAATTTGCACATAGTTAGTGAAGTTAGCAAGTTAGCACTTAGCAATTAGGTTGTGATGTCTATTGTGGGAGTGATTTTCCTCAAATATTTGCTTCCACATCTATTCTAAAGCGTTACCAGAAGAAAGTTTGTAAGCTAATGGGAATGCAAGAACTAGCCGGCATAGTTTGTGCAGCTTCTATGTTAGAAGCAATTCAATTTTGTCTACTTTTTCCTCCTTTTATAAGTGAGGGGAATGGAGTCTAGGATCTCGAATTTGATGTTATTTGTCACAACTTAAGAAAGCGCATTTCACATCCACGCTATGTTGGAGTTTGAAGCAAATATCCCACATTGAGAGCATAAGATTGCCATATATATAGTTTGGGCCCAAGTTATGGGTTTGGCTTTGGATGGTTGGAAAATAATTATTATTTGTTAAAATTGGGCTTTGAGCCTTTTGGGCTCTAGGAAAGGAGACATTGCCAAATCTTTATTTTATTTAATTTTTGTTGATGATTGTTTAATTTTTACTCAGCAAATTGAAAGTGCTTCTTGTATGATCTGAAAAAACCCTAGCCCTCTTTCTAACAAAAAACACTTCTAGAGCCTTTTTCACTTTGAGGAGAGAGGAAGTTACTGTTCTTCATCACATCTCCCATCTCCCCTCTTCTCTTTCTTTCTATTTTCTCCTCTTATTTTCAGAGACAAAAGTTTTTTCCTATTTATCTTCATTTAGTTATGATTTTCCTCCAACTATCACAGGCGGTTGCATCTCGGTGTTGTATCTTCACATGCGTTTCAGCGTCGGATCTCCATCACCATACTTTTTGGGGTTTCTTGATGTTTGGAATAAGTCACAAAAACTCTTTGGGTTCTCTGCGTAGTTTTCACATCTTCTTTTGTGAAAGCTTTTCACCTCTTCTTTGTGATAGTTTTTCACATCTCATTTGTGAGAACTTTTCATCTTTCATTTGTGAGAGTTTTATTTGTATTGTTATGACTTGGTTCTTTCAAGCTTTATTTTTTATTTATTTATTTTGAGTTTGCAATCTTAGTTGGGATGCCAACGCTAGAGTTTCTTCGATCCCGCATGATTGTTAGTGGAGGCGCATCAGATTGTCTTAATTTTATGTTAGACCGCTCCGTTATTGTATTGGCCATTTGTTGCTAGTTTGTATTGGCCTTTTGTGGCTAGTGGCTTTTTTTGCTAAATTATGAATCCAATCCTAGAATTTCTCACAAAAAAAAAAGAAAAAAAAAGGAAAAAGAAATGGCCGCTTGTATGATTAAAAATCTTTCATCTAAATTTCAATCCACCTCTGATCAAAGCGAATTTGCATAAATCAATAACTTATTTTTCAACTAATGTACATTGACGGAAAAAAAGAATACTTAAATCAGCAATAGAAGCTAATTGGGTCTAGTTCATTAGAAAAAGGGCAATGACTTGCATATCAATGATCTCAAGTTCGAACCCCCATAATACTAATGTGTGTGTGTGTGTGAAACCCACTTGCAGTTTAGACTATCGCTTGTTAAAAATCCCTTTGTAGTTTTGGATATTACCAATATTATTAAGTTTCACTTAGCCTCCCCATCCTCATAATGATATAGTTAATTTGATTTGATCCAATTGGAATCAACTTTCTCCTTTTTCTTTATAATTTTTTTTACAACTTGTTGAAATTGATTCATTTTTAGAATAAAGGGGAGAAATTCAAAATGTGGTTTAACATATTAAATCTTATATAATTAATTATTGGCAAACAAATAAACTTGGTTTAAAAAAATAGAAAAATCGGAATGCAAAATTGTGAAACCCTGTATTTTTAATATATATATATATGTATTATATTTCAAAAAATTAAATATTTTATTACATATTTAGATTATAACTTATATATATAATTATCTTGTACGTGTTATATTTTCATAAAATTTATCTTATTAGTTATTAAAAATAGTAATATTTATATGTATTGCTTTTAACAACTTTATCCATTTGTTTCTTACTTACCAAGTTCAATGGCCTAGATATTTATTTTACAAACACACTTTAGACTCCAAGTGTCATTCTACTGGGGTAACTAAGCTTTATTTAGCATGAGGTGTTGGCAATTTGATGATAGCCATCCTAATCTTGGAGACCAAGTTCCCACGTGGTCAGAGAGAGAGAGAGAGAGAGAGAGAGAGAGAGAGAGAGAGAGAGAGAGAGAGAGATGTAAGGAAATTTGATATTGGACGAGATAGGTAAATGGGTTGTCTTGTCAATTTATTTTAAGGGCTCTCATTGTTGAGGTGAGTGATTTATGTAATGTGTTCTAAAAGTTCTTATTTTGTGACAAAATATGAAAACCATGAATTATCGTGGATTTGTTCTATTTACAAATATCTTTTTATTTCAAAGTTAAGCATGTGTAATTTGGTGCAATTTTTTTTACATTATATATATTGATTGGAATATTTGTGAAGTATGTATTATTCATGGAACATGAGAACTTCAATGTTGGGGTATCCGAGGGATAGATGTATCACACGGGGACATAGGGCAGTAATGCCAATAGGGGTCACGTGGTTGGTTACATGCTATGAAGGATAACCGAGATATGAAGGGATGATGTGATGTGATATGATATGGATTGGTATATCTTTTTATGATATTTTCTAGAGTGTGTAAAACGGCATTGCTTGGCTGACATATTGCATAATCTACTCACTGAGCAGTGGTTGCTCATCCCTCACCCTGTTTAACTTTTCAGATGAATTAGTGGGCAAGATGAGGACTAAATCGTTTGAGGCTAAATTAGATGAGAGTAGTAGAGCTTTATTTATTTCTTGTAAAGTTGTAAGATTTTGGATCTGTTTTTATAAGAGAAGTTTATTTTAAACCTTGTTTTGGATTCTTTTTATTTTATTTTCTCACGTATCGGGCTCGAGCTTTTCGCCGACCCCCGGATCCGGGGCGTGACAAAAATGTTATGGATGGAGTCCCCCAAAGAAAATTATGGTAAATTAATTTTGATGGTTGGTCAAGCTTCTACAAGTTTTGTTATTTGTAATTCCCAAAACATTGCTCTTTTAGTTGGTTCATTTCCTGTTGATTTCACTTCTACTTCGTAGGCTGACGCAATGGTTCACCAAAAGCCAGTGGACTACTCGTCTTCGATTGCAAAATTGTTCATATGTTGACAAGTTAAGGTGTGATACCTTAGAAAGTGAAATAAATCATTCAAGATCTTTGACTTCTTCTACAACAATTTTCAGAAATTTGAATTTCACATAATTTTAAACAAATATGGTAATTTAGGTCATCATTTGCAACATCCTCTGTATTTGGTTTAGTAATTTTCCTTATCAAGTTTTGTATCATATAAAATTTGACTTTTTTAGTTTAAAGATCACAAGAGAATCTTCTTTGTAATTACTTTCTATACACTATATGTTAAAAAAAAATAAAATTAGTAGAGTTAGATTCCCAACCAATTGCGTTATGCCAAGTATGATTAGTTTTTTACATAACAGAGCGTGATTGGTTAGGTATGTCAAAATAGTGTTATTCTCGTGACATATAAGTCTACGGGCGGCAGTACTAAAAAATTAAAACGGAAAAAAAAGAAGAAAAAAGAACCAAAGGCATAGTCGCCAAGGAGAAAATAGTAAAAGCGCATAAACAAAATTAGCGTAATGCACGTTGTAAAGGTCCGTGATGTTTTTCTTCCCTTCCCTGACTGCAAACGTTGAAAATCCCAAATGCTACGAACCCTAGCTGCCAGCAAATCAGCATTTCGATATTGCCAATTCTAGGGTTAGAAATCGCAGAGTGAACTTGCCTACACGCGAACGCTGACACATTGTTGTGGTCGGCAAAACAATCGTGCCATTTCTCAATGAAATTAAGCTTCAGAAATGGTTGATACATGAGGATTAAGACGGCAAGCTGAGAGCTTTGATTGGCACTGTGTTTGGTTTGAATTTGAAGCGAAGGGATGCAAATCTCGTGGATTTTGATTACGTATGTTTCGGCATTTGGGATGGCTTGTGGGTCTAACCTATAAATCTCCATCGTCAAAGAGGTTGCCAGATGCCAAGCCTCCCCCGGCTGAAGTTAAGCCGGTGGCTATGTTGGATTCTGTTCAAGAGATTGCTATTTACATTCACAGATTTCACAATCTTGACCTTTTCCAGCAGGGGTATATTTATGTGGATTTCTTTCAATTGTTATTTTGAACTTGTTCGTGCTTGCTTTTTTAAAGTTAAATTTGTGGGTATTCTTCAATTTCTTTTATTTTATAGATGGTACCAAATTAAAATTACCATGAGATGGGAGGACAGTGAATATACTTCTGTGGGGACTCCAGCAAGAGTTGTTCAATATGAAGGTACTGACTTTTGTTGGAGTTGTTAATTTTTCTTTTATAGAGCAAAATGATATAAAATATTGATTACTATTAAGTCAAAATAAAATCGTAAGTATATGTTAAGTACATTGCTTGTAAGCATATAGTTTGAAACAAACTGATTTTCAGAGTCAGAATTATATAAATTTGGTCAGTGGGTCTGTTGGTACGAAAGCTTTTACTAAGTTTCTTATCAGTTAACCCCAAATTTTGCAATGCAGTATAACTGTACAAATCTTACCGTGTTAAGTATGGTGCAATGATGGTTGTTTTTAAGTATGTATTCATGGGTCAATAAATTGCCCTTTTGAACTTTTATCAATTTATTACAAGTCGGTTGTTGTTTAAGAGAAGTGATATTATTTTTAAAAAACAAAAGTTTAAGAGCTAGGTTTTCAGTGCTTGTTTTATTGTTTCTCTTTCTTTTGGTTAATATTCAAAATGATTGAAAGTGTAGAGTAAAAACTTTACATGACCTACCTGGGTCCAGCTATTATTGTCAACAGATCAACCTAGCTATCCTCATGTTTATAGTATTTTACATGGTTAACTGGTTTTTATACTTTTGTTATTTGGGCATAGAGATATGTTTTGCTTCAGTTAAATAAAGATTTAGTAAGCTTGTCCTATTTAAGTGATGCCATTTTCATAAACTAAGAGGCAAGGGCATAGAGATAATTAAACTGTTTGACTGGCAGCTCCTGATCTGGGTTCTGATGATGTATATGGAGTATGGAGGATTGATGATACAGATAACAGCTTCTCAACACAGCCTTTTCGTATCAAATATGCAAGGCAGGATATCTTTTTATCAATCATGATATCTTTCAATCTATCACTAGCGAGATATGAGGTAATAATCTCTCTCTCTCTCTCTCTCTGCCTCTGTCCTCACGCACATGTGACATGCTAAGCATCTAACTGTCTATATGGAATTTATTGAACATGGTATTAGCCCCCATAACATGTTTGTCGTCTGGGTTGCCTACGACATTTGACAACAATTTTGGCTAGTTGACAACTAGCCTTGGTTTTTTGGCTCTATGTTTTTTTTCTCTGAATTGTGAAAGGTCCCATTAGCTACATGCCCAAACTTTTTGCTTGCTGCCTTGATGACGTCAGAATAGTTGATGACAATTTGCATTCTTAAAACCTAAGAGGCCAAAAGGTCAAGCTCGTTAAAAAAAATAAAAAAAATCCTGTTTTGCAAAAGAAATTAAATTACTTTTTCCAAGGATATCCTTGTGGGTAAGTATGTGCTATAATTTGGCGATTTTTATTTTTTATTTTGTCCAAGTAGAATGTAGTGTTTATATAATGTATTCATGTTAATAGGGTATGTACTTTTCAGGGTCTCTCCTCGTCTGCAGTTATTTTGAAGTTCGAGCTTCTGCATGCCCCCATATTAGGAAATAGGTGAGTTGAGATGATTCATATTTTCATGCACGCTTTTAAGTTTGCAAATTGAAACTAGAGTCAGTGATTATGTTGCATAAATTGCAGGTCTGACTTGCAGGCTTCTTTGGATGCTAGCCCTGCAGCTGTCCATGAATTCCGAATTCCTCCTAAAGCTCTTCTGGGATTGCATTCTTATTGCCCTGTCCATTTTGATGTATTCCATGCGGTGCTTGTTGATGTTACAGTACACATCAGTCTACTGAAAGCTGTCTCTTACATGCTCCCATCGAAGGTACCCAGGTCTGTCACATATTCTAGTCTATAAAGTAGTTTGGCACTCCATTTTGTGGAAATTAGTCTTCTTTTTGTATTGAAAACTAATTCTGTGCATACTTTTTTTGCGAAATTAACTCGGGATTTGATTTATTTCAGTGATTCGTCCATTGCTGAAGATGTTGGTGGAGAAGGTCTTTCTGGGTCAAATCAAGTATGTTGTTTTGCATTAAATTCTGCTAGATCTTTTTTCTGGCCCTTGTGAGGCTTGACATTATTCACATTTGAATCTTTGATCTTGTTCGACAGTATATTCCTGTGTGTTGGTTGTCATCTTTGCTTCTCTCTCTCTCTCTCTCTCTCTCCCTCCCCCCTCTCTCTCTCACATACTTTCTTCATGAAAATACATGTTTTCCATCAATTCCCTGTTGCGCTTTCCAAGGGCCTTTCACATAATAACGGGACACACAAACATCAGATGATCGGGCATATATATGCACACACATGTGCTTTTGTATATGCATTGTAGTTTACGGAATTGACTATGTAGTAGAGTCAAGATTATGTTTCCATAATTTATTCAATATGCTTGGGGCTTTTTTAATTAGGAATATCCTCGGGGATGTCTATTATATGAATGTCGTAAACAATCCTTGGAAATTGCTTCATGTGAGATCAGGGATCCACATCGAAATGGCATATTGGTATGAACAACAGCTAATGAGTTTTTGCGTGACGCAAAAGGACTAAACAATTTCACTGCGCAAAGTCGACTAATCTGGTATAGCTACTTTATTTGGATTGAGTGATCTGGGAAGCACTAATACGTAAGTGCTATATGGGTATGACAGGCGTATGCGATGCAGAAGAAGCAACACTAAGCTGGCAGAGTTGCTGGAGGAAAGAAAATTGAGATGAATGGTGTCGTTTTGGTTTTGGTATTTTATTTTATATATATATATATATATATATGTATGTAAATATTCTACCCTAAGTGAAACAGTGCATTTGAGAAAAAAAGTTGGCGTTTTAGTAAGGTTTTAAAAAAGAAAATGGCAGGCTTTAATAATATTTCCCAATGAAACCAGCCCAGTTTACTCCACCTCGACCTTTAGTTTACACCACCTCCATACCTCTCTTTAACCTTTCTTATCTTTATTTCAGTGCAAAGAAGGTTGGGGTCCATGCCCCCAGCTTGTAGTTAGCTCACCATACCCGGTTGTTAGTTATTTCCTATATGTGACTAGCCTCCTAGCATATTGTTCTAGGATTTATTATCTATTTGAACCAAGTGTACAAGCACTAGAATTAGAAACTTGGTAGGGTAATCATGATGATAATAAATAGCAAGAAGTTGCATGAGAGTTCCTCACCTCCACCAGTGCTGATTATTATTCTTGAATGACAATTAATACTTTGTTTTGATTATTTTATACTTTTGATATTAGATAATAATTCAATAGTAAAGACTTGCATCTTAATGCTGAAAGGCTTACGACGCGCCTTGCAAGACATGAAACGCCTCACCTCTATACCTTGCTTTTGAAAACATTGTATTTTAGAAAGATAACTGAGGTTTCATTGGGATGTATCAGTTCCCTTAAACCAAAGCATTGTTTTTGAGTCCCTGAAAAAATTGATAGTTTAAATTTACATTGAGAAATGCATTGAAAGCGAAGGCTACTGAGCATATTTAAAACTTAGATGGGTGTTATAAACAATACAAATTTATAAATAAACCCAATCTTAGACATGTATTTATAAAAAAACCCAAGCACTATTTAAACATAGAAACACACCCAAAATCAACCCCATAATCAACAATTGTATATTTTTTGGGTGTGTTTATAAATGGGTTTTGAGTGTGTGTAATGATGGGTTTTGGGTATGTTTATAAAGTGTTTTGGGTGTTGGGTTTTTTTATAATTTCAGCCCCCATTTTGGGTGTTTTAGTGAAACTCCCTATAAACAATGGATTTGAAATTAAAAATATAAAGTTTCAAAATTTGTGATGCTTTTAAAGTTTGAACTCTTAACTGACATGTATCTGGGCATATTTCTAGCATCTATGTTCTTAATATGTATATAAAAGGTTTCAAATATCCTTAATCTATTATTTATGTTTTGTTTGCTACTTCTCATCAGAGGCTGTTCTATCATGTACTTACAGTTGAAAATTTGTGATTGACTAGGCATCAGCACAAGTGGCTGCTGCAGGTGTGAATGACATCATGCTTGTTAAATCATTGTTAGCTGCTCGTGACATACTACTTGAAGAGCTCCAGAAACTTAGCAAGGCTATTGACCAAGCAATTGATTTGACTGATTTTATATCTAAAATGGATGACACAAAGTTTGATTCTTTCCTGCAAGAAAATTTGGTTGCAGCAGATGCCAAAGTTTCAGGACAAGGCAAGCCACAAAATGGTCTTGAGGTCCTTACTTAATTCATGCAGTATAATGTTCTTATCCTTATTTCGAAATTTCTATGGTTTAAGGTTAGTGTTTTCACTTAACTTTATCTGTTTTTGAACAGAAAGTAAATGGCACGTCAGAATTTGGAAGTGGTGAATTGCTACGCCCCTTATCAAGGGGTGCCTTACAGAATTCTTTTCATTCTTTGGGCGATCAAGTTTTATATTTATGGAACACTTTTTTAAACTTCCACAGGTTTGTTTTTATTTGATATTGTTGTTGCGACCTTTTATGTTTTTTAAATAAATTAAAATGATGCTATACACAATGATGGTCCCGATTGTAGACTTACACCGTTGAGGAATATATATATATATATATATATATATAAATGTAAGTACCGAAACAGGCATTGTCTCTAGAAGGGCTCCTGCTATGAGGGTGGTTCTAGAGAGGATGCCCCTTTTAAAAAATATGCTGGATATGCAATAGCAACGTCATGTTACTGTCAATAACTTATCAATAGTCTCTTAAAAAATGATTGGGACCTCTTCCAATGTGATTGGATTAACCTTCTATTTGTATCCACACAAAAATAAAAGACTCGCTCCTCTGATCTAATTTCCAGATCATCTGTACTCGTTTGTATGGTGATATTTATTCATTACAGGTTTAACAAAACAAAGGTACTGGAATACTTGCGTGACACATGGGCTAAGGATAGAAAAGCTGAATGGTCAATATGGATGGTTTACTCTAAGGTTGAGATGCCTCATCATTTTATCAATGGTGGGGGTGATGAGTCTTCCCACAGTGCTGGCCATAGGAGAGTTTCAACTATGTGGAAATTAACTGATGATGTAAGTATTCTAAGTATTCATACCACATGATTTGTAACTTGACGAAAGAAATTTCCCCAACATGTTTGAAGCAATGTCAAGGGTTTGTTCAGTGTTCCCTATGTACAGTTCAGTTATCAGCAAATTTAGATTTTTGAATGCATGTTTTATGGATCTTACTTGTGTTATGTACAGCCTGCCCAGACTGCTGCTACCCGTGCTGAGCTTCATCGACGAAGTATTGCACAAATGAAGGTGGGCGGCTTTTGCTTTCAGATGGAGAGTTGTATTGTCTCTTCCGTTGAATTTTTTTGTAAATTGGAGTTTTCTCTGCAGATTAACAATGGGTCAATTCAAGACATGCATATATTTGGAGATCCATCAAGCATTCCTATTGTCATTGTGGAGCGTGTCTTGAATGCGCCTAGGCGTACTACTAGTGAAAATTCTTACTTGAGAAATTTGGACGTCATAAACTCTCCTGGCTTACTCAGTGGATCTGGCTCTGAATCCTTAAACAAGAGATCCAGCTATAGCTCACCAAAGAAAGGCCGGGTTTTAAAGATTGTTGTCTTTGTGCATGGTTTTCAGGCTAGTTTTGTTCTCTTACAGCTTCCTCTAAAATTCTTAACATTTCGTTGTTTCCTCTGTTCTTTCCTTGCCCCCTTCCAATATTTTCATTGTGTAAAAGTTGCCACAGCATAACTTTTTATTTTTATTATTTTTTTAAAAAGGTTATTAACATTTTGAACTTAGTTTGTCAGGGTTTCCATTTGACCTTTGGTCAAAACTTGCCAGCTATTTGTAATAACTTACGTTTATGAAGGTTCGAAAAATTGTATATGTGATGCTCACAAAAGTGTTTTGGTTGTGCTAGTCATTGTGTGTTTTGCTCCCTAAAGTGAGTCAAACGTTTGTAATTTATGGATTTGAATATTCATTTGGTGGCCATTCATGTTTTATGCTGCGAGTATAGAACTTATACCAGTGTAGTTGATGAACAGCTACATAAGTCTATTCATTTGTGCTACGCGCTGTAATGTACTTAATACAACTCTCACACTACAGGGGCATCACCTGGATTTACGGCTTATTCGGAATCAATGGCTTTTGATAGATCCCAAGGTAGAGTTTCTAATGTCAGAGGCAAATGAAGACAAAACATCTGGTGACTTCAGAGAAATGGGACAAAGGTTGGCCCAGGAAGTAGTTTCTTTCCTTAAGAAGAAAATGGATAAAGTTTCAAGATCTGGAAGCATAGCTGATATTAAGCTTAGCTTTGTGGGACATTCTATTGGGAATGTGATCATAAGAACGGCGCTAACAGGTATCAAACATTTAGACATCATGTTTTCCCATTATATGCAGTTGGTGTTGATATTAGCCATGGTTTTTGCAGATAGCATTATGGAGCCATTCCTAAGATACCTGCACATATATCTTTCTATTTCCGGTCCACACTTGGGGTATCTATACAGTTCAAACTCTTTGTTCAACTCCGGGCTGTGGCTTTTGAAGAAGCTTAAGAACACGCAGTGTATTCATCAGCTTACTTTCACGGATGATCCAGACCTTCAAAATACGTTCTTTTACCAGCTCTGTAAGGTACTGAGAATTCTATTACCGGATGCATCTTTTTGTTTTTCCCTTTTAACAACTTGTACTCAGCCATCAGGCTGTTGCCTCATAACTGTTGACGATCTTGGGAAAATAAATAAAATCATGATATTAATCTGGCTTTTTGTTTGCACTATATGTCAATAATAGTATTGTGTATTCCATAATTTTGTATTAATTGAAGGCAAATATGACATTCTTTACAAAAATAATGACGAGCTTTAAGAAAGAACTGTGGCTAATGTCATCTGTTTAATTGCTGATGTTCTAAATCAATTCTTTTTGCAGAAGAAGACACTTGAGAATTTCAAGCATATAATCCTGTTATCTTCACCACAGGTATCTTGATCGCTCCCCTGGGGGTTTTGTAAGCAAGATTATTTAATGAAAATATTAAACTTACGCTGCAGACTTTGTTTTTGTTGCATCTCTCTGCTGTTTGCCATTGATTGTAATGTGAGAAATGCAATTGATAAGTCCATGGACCTTCATAATTGCTCACATCAACTACTGTGTTCGAGCACCTATGCTTAAGAATCCAATAATTTAAATAAACCACCTGAATTTTTTGCCATACTTCCACAACCCATTGACTTTGATCCTATTGCTAATCCAACTGCTAAAATAATTAAAAACTCAAGCTGCTCAGAACTCGTACATGTGAGCCGCTACCTTTACAACCTTCTTTGTGGTTCCTTCTGTGTTTCCAATGTTTAATAGTTGTGTGAGATTTTCACATTTGTAATAGTGAAATCTTCCTTTTTTTGATGATGAGCATAGTCTACATTACTAAGACGAAAGGCATTACTCCAAAGATTCAATGTTTGCCAGGGAGGAACTCATAACAGCTCTTTCATTTCTTTATCTATTTTGATGTCTGATAGCAGCACTTTTATTGAACACTACTTGTCAGATTTACAATTGTCATTGTCTAAGAAATTTGCAACAATTTATTTGTGCCCAATGGAAAACCAAAATCTCACTGAACTTTTTGTACTGTTTAAGAAAAAAATTGTTCTCATGATATTGGTAGTTGCTTCAACCATCATTAATTATGTTTTGCAGGATGGTTATGTTCCCTACCATTCTGCTAGAATAGATATGTGCCAGGCTGCTTCATTGGACTTGTCAAAGAAGGGCAAATTTTTTCTGGAAATGCTGAATGATTGCTTGGACCAGATACGGGCCCCTCACTCTGAGAATCGAGTGTTCATACGCTGTGACATCAACTTTGATACCTCTTCGTATGGAAAGAACCTGAACACCTTCATTGGAAGGGCTGCTCATATTGAGTTTTTGGAGTCCGACACTTTTGCAAGATTCATCATGTGGTCTTTCCCAGACCTGTTTCGGTAATGGCTGTTTCTGGCAATGCAGCTTCTTCTCTACCCTGTCGTTATCTGATTATCTCCTTCCCTCCAATTGAAGACAACTGAGGACGGTGTTTGGAGGTAGAGTGTTGAATATGTGGCACCACGTCAAATGCTTGAAGAAATCGGCTATTGTAAATTATCAGCTTAGAACTCATTTTACGGGTAGAAGTTGTGCCTTTGTTTAGCTGAATGTGAAGTTTCTAGGGTATTCCACGAGCCTTGTGGACCATACATAATATTTAGTATACAAGCAAGGTTCCTTGTGGACCGTACATTTTCCATTTTCTAGGCTAGTTAGATTATGTGATTATGCTTTTGATCAAGTTCCTGTCACAAGGATCTTGCATTTTAAGTATACAGTTGAGATGGGAAAAATGAAACTTGCATAGTTTAGGCGTGTAGTAACCTAATAAGAATTTGGTTACAGTTGTCTTTTTGTCAATTGCCTATAGTATACTTTTGAGGCCTCAAATTTATAATATTATATATAGTATTATACATTTATAACATTATAAATGTTACTCAGGCCTTATGGGACAATTTACCCTCTCCATCCCTATAGTTGTACTATACTTTTGGGGACATTAATAGGTCGATATGTTACACAAAAGTCAAATATAAAAACTCGAAGGTGAAAGATAGGCGAGCTAGCTTTGAGCGTGTCGTGCATGAATGAATGCCATGATATGTGGTCTGGAACATAGGCTGATCATCTTCAATTTCTTGCACTTGTTTGGTTGCTCGGCAACTAAAACAGGTCCTGCATGGTCCATGCAACACGATGAATTTCGATTTTTGGCACTTGTTTGAGTTTATCATTGCAAGATTAATATTCCTAATCAGAAGACAATGAACTTCCTTATATTTGTTCATCGATCAGAATATATTCCTTGGGTGGTTGGGATATTTGAATCATTCAGGAGACCAAGAAGAGAAGAAATGCCCTTTGGGTAGAATAATTGAAGAAGAAAACACGTACTATTTCTCTGGACTTGCTTGCCTCTGGCTATGGAAGTCACAAGTATAGATTAAAAACTGGGAGCACTGGTTCACCACTTCCACCACTATAAAAGCTTTTCAATTCTGGAAGACCCAGAAATGATATGTATCCCAATTGCGGAAAAATGATCTTGTCCTTCAATGTTCCCTCGCTTGGTCCAATAGCTGTCTCCAAACCAAAGCAACCAACTACCCATAGCTTTTCCAGTTGCAAAAGACACTGAGATACGTCTGTTGTGAAGATGCTCTTCAATTTCCAACAGTACTGCACACTCAAAATTTGAAGTTATGGAAGATTGCATATTGAGCAGGGCCATTCCATATGCTTTTTAGTTCATGAAGATAGGCCAATTTCATCTTTCTCCATTTTCTAAAAGCACCGTGTTCTTGTCTACTTAGAACCAATGTTGTGGTTGTATTCATCAAACTTGGCATCTGATTGCACTGTTTGACACTACGAGAAATCAATCCATGTAATCTCTCCGTGGCATATTCCGCAAAGAAAGTTATTTAATCCCCCGCACTCACTGTAAATTATTTTCTCTGCTCTCTCGATCACCATACTGCTAAACCAACTCGGCAAGGTATTGATTGTTGTGTCGAGGACCAATAGTCTTGGACAATCTGAATCACTAAGGGCATGTTTAATAACTGAATTTGATTTAGCTCCAAGTCCATAGCATGGTTGAGAACCCAACCATATCACTTTTTTTTTGTGTGGCCATATTTCCTTCAATTTCCATTCTTTATGTAGCCCATGTTTTTGCAATAGATGGGTTGGCCTAAAAACATTTACATTCCTTCAATTACAATGATAAAGCCAAAGCCCTTCCAGATCTTCATCTGCCCCTCATTTACATTAGGGCATCAAAGGATATGAGGCATAAAGACTAGACTATGGTTGCGGTTGGATTGGGGAAAATATAGGGAAGGTAGTACGACTTATGATTGTGTCGGAGTTGGAGTTGAAGCTCTATGGTGGTGCAGCGCGGCGGAGCAGGGGGAGGTTAGGTGGCGGTGGGATACAGCGGTACTCATCGTTTGTGACCTTTGATTAATTAAAATAATAATAATTTCTGTCCTTTTTTAAAAAAGAAATTAATGACTCCTAAATACATGTCTGAAATTTTGTTAATTAAAAAGTGAAAGATAGTTAGATAGATGGTAGTCGAATCAATAGTAACAACTTGTATCACAAATCAAACACATGCAAAGATGTAATTGATCCAAATCAAACAAAGTGCAAAGATGTAATTGACCAAAAAAATCTTATACACAAGTCAAATATAAAAACTCTAAAGTATATGAATGCCATGATATGTGTGGTCTGGAACATTGGCGGATCATCTTCAATTTTTTTTGCACTTGTTCGGTTGCTAGGCAGTCTCTATCGAACTTGCGGGTGCACCTAAAATAGTATGGTAAAACATGCTGCAAGAAGTTGAATTAAACAGGAGAGTTAGAAGAACTTAACAATTACAGATTACTTCAAACAAAATCCCCGTTTCGATTGAGTAGAGATTAAAGAAGAAAACACGTACCTTTTCACCGGAAAGCGCCCAGTATCTACTTGGACTGGCTTCTGGCTATGGAAGTCAGAAGCAGAGATTGAAAATTGGCTATGGCACCCGTGCACATACAAGTATTCCAATGAAGGGCACTCAACACCACCACTTCCACCACTATAAAAGCTTTTCAATTCTGGAAGACCTTGCAAAGATATGCATCTCAGTTGCGGAAAAATGATCTTGTCCTCCAATGCTCCCTCGCTTGCTCCAATAATTGTCTCCAAACTAGAGCAATTATCTACTCGTAGCTCTTCCAGTTCCAGTTGCATAAGACAGTGAGATGCGTCTGTTGTGAAAATGGTCTTCAATTTCATACACCCAGATACTGTCAAAACCTTAAGATTATGGAAGATTGCATATTGAAGAAGTGTGCCCTCCAAGGCTTTACAATCTTCCACCCTCAATGACTTGAGATTGCCTAGAGATCCATGCGGTAAGTCACCAACACATAACTCTTTTAAGTCATTCAACCTATTGACATACAACTCTTCCAACTTCTCCAGCACAGGTCTATTTGGAACCAATGTTGTGGTTGTATTCATCAAACTTGGCATGTGATTGCACTCTTCGACACTAAGAGAAATCAATCCATGTAATCTCTCCGTGGCATATTCCACAAGAAAGTTATTTAATCCCCTGCACAAGCTATAAAATATTTTCTCTGTTCTCTCGATCACCACACTGTTAAACCAACTCGGCAAGGTATCGATTGTTGTCTCGAGGACCAATTGTCTTGGACAATCTGAATGCAGAAAATGATGATGCATCGAGACTGATTCCGTCCTGATCCATATGAAGAATTTTTCCCAATTTGGAAGGAACTCAACATCTTTAGGAATGCATTCTACATTATAAATTTGAACAAACAAAATGTTTAAGTACGACAAGCAAGTTAACTCATCGAAGCCAGCATTAATTCTTTCCCCTGCCCCTTCAACTTTACCGCCCCAGTCTCCAAAACTACCTTCCATGAGTAGTTCCTCTAACCTAGACAACCTAGATATCACTTTCGATGGAATTATGTTTATCTCTGAATTCCAACTCAAATCCAACAACCTCAGATTGGCCAAGTTTCCTATTTCTTCTGGAAATTTTTTAAAACTAGAGGATCTCAGACTAAGAATCTCAAGTTTCTTTAGTTTTCCGAGTACGGACATGTCCTTTAAGGACTGACAGTGATCTAGATGCAATGTTTGGAGGTTTATTAGGAAATCGAACGATGAGGGTAGTATTGAAATAGAAGTTTCGGTAAGGTCTAAGACCCTTAATGCATTCAGACTCTGGAAAAAAGCTTCTGGGATCTCCTCTACTGTAGAATTATGATTTAGAAGTAAAATTTGGAGTTTTGGGCATACCAACTCATCAGGAAGCTTTCTTATACAGTTATCCTTTAGCGAGATTGCTGAGCAGCCTTCATCTGTATCATTTGGCCAGACATTTAATTCCCAACCGGCTTTTACCAAAAACCGATGGCCATGTTCTGATGATGATGCAATTAATATGGCCATATCTCGTATGACATCATGCATTCTCACAAATTTTTCGCTTATCCCGTCCAAAAGCAAGCTGGAAGCTTTAAGGTACTTGGTCACTGAACGTGCTTTGGCTCTGGCTCCTTCCAATGTCTTGCCATCTCGAAACAATCCCAACCCAAACCCGTAACTAAACAAGTCTTGTATGGCGATATTACTGTCTTCTGCGAATAGGGAGCAAAGCAAGAAGCATGACTTGGCATCCTCGCTTTTCAAGTAGTCATAGCTTAACTTTATACATTTGAACACATCTCCGTCGTCTTCAAGGTTGGCAGGCTGGGACATCTCCAGTCGTCGAGCTGCTTCTTTCCACTCATCAAAGTCTTTATCTCCAAGTGAACCTGCAACTGCTATCAATGCAATTGGAAGACCAGCACATTCACGAGCTACCTTTCTCGCCACATTATAGAAAATGACTGATTCAAAAGACTTTCTTGCTTTCTTCGCAAACAAGTTCCAGGATTCTTCTTCAGATAGGACATTGAGATGTACTTTTACATTGCACTCCATGCCGTGACAAACATTCAATCTCCTTGTGGTTATCAGGACTTTGGATTTGTGTCCTTGCAGTTCAATGGGGCTGGGAATTCCAATGCTAGTCAAAGTAGTTTGTGAAGCATTCCAAATGTCATCCAAGATTATAAGGGTCTTTTTTCCACTTAGTATCCTCTGCTTCAAACTACCTGCTCTTCCCAATTCTGTTTCCACCTGAAATTTCAAGCCCAACATATCTGAAAGTTGGCCTTGAATCTTCATCAAGTCGGGGTTTTGGCTAAAGACAGCCATAATCACATGATCAAAGAGTTTATCTTTACGGGCTTGTGCACCAACCTGTTTCACCATGGTTGTTTTGCCTACACCTCCCATTCCATAGACCCCAATCACAGTGACCTTATTATCTTTCAGCGCTGTCATGACTTGATCCATGGCTCTGCTTGTAGATCCAAATGCTTGAAAACCATCAGTTGACATTGTGGACTCAATTTCAATGGGATGTGGAACTTGAACAGAAATTGTTTGAAAATCTCTCTTTTCTAGTAGCTTGTTTACTGCTTCTTTCTCCTCCATTGCTTTCTTTCCTAAATTGTAACGCCATCTCAAATCCGGGCACATCCCGCTGATGCAATTTTTACTCGCTGCAACTTCACCAGTTAATTGTGCAGCATCTGCTATGGCCTTATTCGCATCTTGTAGCCACATTTGAATCTCAGGCTTGACTTCTTCTCCATTTAGTTGAAACGCATCAACTAAATTTTGATTACCATTTTTTATTACTTGAAGCTTTTCAATTTGAAGGTTGAGAGACTCTATGTTTCTCTTGTAATGAACCATGTAACCCAATCCACGCTTTGCTGGACTCCACAACCACTGACCAAGTTGCACTACGGGACCAATAATTTCTGCCATCTGTTTATTTATTTTTTATGCAAAACACAAATGAAAACAGAGAAGGGAAACAATGCAATATGGGATGATAGGAAATACAAACTGAAAAACTGTGATTTAGTCTACTGACCTTAGGAGCAATGACGCTCCCTTAGCTTCAGTTGTTAGAATTTTGTGTGCCTTGGACTGTTTGACAGATCTCAGTAAACTTCGGTTTAGGCTTAGGCTTGGTCGTCAAGATTACAGAATCAAAAGTAGAGACTGCCAATTAGCAGAATATTCACCCTACCAAAAAGCAGACGTTGATTGAACGTTTCAAGGATTATACACGAGCCAAACAAAGGGAAATTTTTATACAAAAAACAGACACATAAATAAAAGCCATTGGGCATGTCTTTATTTCTCTCACCTCCTTTTCTTGGTTTAATTAATGGATTTTGTTTGCATTTGTGTGGTCTGGGCCCTTGTTGTATGTTTTCTCTAATCTTTCTGTGAAGTAATGAACTGATGGATTCATTTTCGAACCAAAAATATATATATCTTTAATTTAGTACTCTGAACTTTTACCTGCAAGGTGTTTACCTCTACACTTCTAATTTTAACGCTTTTCAATTTTTTGCAATATGGTTATGTTGTTATAACTTCATCGTCAAAATTTCCGTTAATTCTTGTCTGGCAAGCCTAGGTATTCACTTTTTTCAATGACAATTGAAGGGTATTTTGTAATATAAAAAAAATAGTTTGGTATTAATGCGTGTAATGTGCTCTTCATGGCCGGGAAGACACCAATTATCCGAAAATACTCTTCAATTGATATTGAAATAAGCGAATATGTGAGACCCATGCCTGCCATGCAAGCAATTAATGGAAAATATGTTGAAGTTAACGACGGAACTAGATTGCAAAAAATTGAAAGCGTAGGGTATGTAATCGTTAAAATTGAGAGTGCATAGGCAAACGTGCCTTAAGGATAAGAGTTCAGGGTACTAAAGTGAAATTAACCCCCCCAAAAAAAAAAAAAAAAAAAAAAAAAAAAATCTCAAGCTCAAGAATTGTGTTTGGCATCACTCTACCTATTGGCTTTTCCTATAGCTGGAGCTGGTGACATTCTGGCTTTGTGATTCGTGATTTATTTTCTTTCAGTTTCCTGTAGCTGGAACAAATCCATATGTTTGAGAAGATTGCTTCTGAACACAATGGCTCAGACTTTCTTTTTTGCGGAAGATCCTGCAACTAAAAAGGAACTCTGGATCTGGAAGGTGCATGGTAATAGGCATTGATCATCAGTACCTTGCTAGAGTGGGCACATGAGCGACCAATTTTATCCGTTGCCTAAGCCAAATTTTGACATATAGGTTAGGACCTTTGAAACATCATTAAAGATGTTTGAGTTGATTTCGCTAGTGTAACACTCTTTGCTCGACTCCATAACCACTGACCAAGTTGCACTATAGGACTAACCAATCCCAAAGTTATTTCTGCCAACTTTTTATGTTTGGTTTTTCTTCTTCATTTTTTAAGCAGAACACAATGGAATTTTTTATTATTAAATAATGAAACGGGAAACAACCATATGGGATAATAGGAATTACAAACTAAAAAACTCTGATTGAGGTTACTAACCTTACGAGCAATGGAGCTCCCTTAGCTGCAGAGTTTTTAGAACTTGTGTGCCTTGGAGTGTTGGACAGATCTCAGTAAACCTTTGTTTAGGCTTAGGCTTGGTCGTCGAGATTACAAAATCAAAAAGAGAGATACCAAGTTAGCAAATGTGGTTAAAGGTTGGAGCAATCATTGATGTTTTGAAGGATTCTCAACCTTCATTTAAGACCACAAAGCAGACATTGGCCTTTTGAAGACTTCACATCCAGGCAAAGCACCTAACGCATCATATCCTTCAACTTTTTTATATAAAAAAAATTGTAGTAATTTCAGTTTTGTAAAATGAATACTCATAAGTAATGTTAGTGTTTGTAAAAGGACTAGTTGTGCAACACAATATCTAATTGAAGGACGACCATAACAATTTTGCAACATGAGGGACAAAAAGTAAAGTCGGGTTGAGGGACCATTTCAACAATTTTGCCTTGTGTTTGTGTTTTCAATTCTAACATTAAAGTAATGTACAGCATGGTGTAACATACTTGTAGCTGAAGTGATTTTGAGAGGACCCGCAGGCCTGCTTCTTTCTTTAATAAAGGACTTTGGCTAAACTTGGTTGGAAAATTTTGATGGATGATGTTAGTTGGTGGGTTAAAATTGTTCGTAGAAAGTACTTACGTAATCATATTTTTGCCGGGAAACTACTAATTCTTCTAATTCTTGGAAAGGTATTTTGGATGCTCGTTCTTTACTCCTCTTTGGAATTCGTTGGATTGTTGGCAATGGTAAAGATATTGAATTTTGGACTTAAAGTTGGGTGTTTTGGTATCTTTTTGGTAGCAGAAATAGGAAATCAGTTTTGGCAGACTTATGTTAAACTGAGCAAGAAAAGTATTTTGATCAACTACTTGTTCATTGGATACTTAACTTTGATGCCTCAGTCAAGGAAGATGGTTTGGCTGCTTTTGGATTCATTATTCGTTGCCTCAGTCAAGGTAGATGTTTTGTTCCTATCGTTGAAGCTATACTGCACTACTTGAAGGGCCGTTGTGGAGAGGTTTCTTTTAACACATCTTTCGTGAAGGCTATTTTGCTGCTGATCTTTTGGCCGCGAATGGGGGCATGAGTTGGAGGAGGGTGAATTGTGTAACGCGGGGAGTTTTTCTAGCTACGCCTTTTAGACTGTGTTTTGCTTTTAGTCTGTAGTTGTGTTTTCCTTGGTAACCAAAACAAAAACAACAACAACAACAAAATATCACCCCTTGGCTTGGTTTTTGCTCATTGATTGATAATTTATGTATTGGAACAAGAAGGGTCCAATATTATAAGCACAACATATCAAACTAGCATCCCTCCACAAATACCACTACCTAATGTCGATTTTATTTAAGAGTTATTCTGGATATGCTAAAGGTATGTATTTTTACGTAAAAGGATGATGAATGAATAATTTACGGATGTGCCTTGATGATAGAATGATTAGTAAAAATGAGGATTACAAAATTTTTTGAGAAATAAATTTAGGTAGTAAAGTGATAGATGAATAATAATTTAACTACATTTTGGCAAACTTTCCTCTAATTTTTGTTCCACAAATAGAGGATGGTAGTGATAAATAGTATGTGGTTAGTTACCCACTTCTTCAACCATAATCGTTCAATATCCTCTTCCTAATATCCCGTTTCAGTGATCATCCAAACTCATTGTTTTGATTACCTGGATTTCTGTCAGCAAATCAAATCCATTTGTCGCTCACATTAATTCCTTCCCAAATCCATGAAAATCCATTTTCATCCTTATCCAAAATCCACTCTTTGAATTCAATACAATCTTATACTAACCAATTTCCGTTTCAATCGTCAGCAGCACCTTTGGTATATAAAAAAGGCAGGCTTCCAATTTCGTCAATTTCACTGTGGACTGGTCGCGTTGTTGAAACCAGAGTAGGATCAATCAGAGTTAGTTTGGCTTGCTCCAATGGCAGATTTCTCACTCCCTAAGGATTCTTATTTTCTTGGATTTGACAGCTCTACTCAGTAAGTTACCAATCCCTCACTCTTTCTCTCTGGTTTGATTTCGTTCTTTGATGCTGCTCACAAGATCAGAATTGCCCACATCACAAATTCACAACTTGGTATGATTATGGTTGTGGGTTCTCATTGTTCTATTGCATTACATGGGAATCTCTGTTTCTTCACATCTTTTTAGTTCAGTTTCCTCAAGTTTATCATTATCCATGAGAGTTAAATTGCATATGAGTATCGATTTTCTGTAATCTGAATTGGGTAAAACTTGATTTTCTTTATTAATGTATTTCTGGTTCTTCTTCAAGGTCACACTTTGGCTTGTTTATGGTTGTGGGTTCTAATTGTATTGTTGAATTCCATAAACAGTGAAGTTAATTAGGATTCTTTCTTTCTTCATATCTTTTTAGTTCAGTTTTCTCAAGTTTATCATTGTTCATGAGAAGTTAAATTGCATATGGGAATCAATTTTCTGTAATCTGAATTGGGTAAAACTGGATTTTTATTTATTAATTTATTTTGGATTCTACTTCAAGGTCTCTGAAGGCAACTGTTCTAGACTCCAATCTCAATATTTTAACTACAGAGCTTGTCCAATTTGACACTGATTTGCCCCATTACAAAACCAAAGATGGAGTTTACCGAGACCCCTCAGTTAATGGTAGAATTGTTTCACCCACCTTGATGTGGGTGGAAGCTCTAGATCTCGTACTTAATAAACTCGCCAACTCAAATTTGGATATTGGGAAAATTGCTGCTGTTTCTGGCAGTGGACAGCAACACGGTAGTGTCTATTGGAAGAAGGGCAGTTCTTCAATATTATCAACATTGGACCCTAAGAAGGCATTAGTGGATCAGTTTAATGATGCCTTTTCTGTAAATGAATCTCCGGTATGGATGGACAGCAGCACCATAGCACAATGTAGAGAGTTAGAGAAGGCTGTTGGTGGAGCATTAGAGTTATCCCAACTTACAGGTTCACGTGGTTATGAAAGATTCACAGGCCCACAGATTAAGAAGATATTCGAGACACATCCCGAAGCTTACGACAACACTGAGAGGATCTCCCTTGTTAGTTCTTTTATGGCGTCTCTTCTCATAGGGGAATATGCTTGTATTGATGAATCTGACGGTGCAGGGATGAACTTGATGGATTTAAAGAAAAAGGCCTGGTCTAATATACTTTTAGAGGTTTGTTATATTTTACGTGTAATTCTTCCTGGTTAGTTATGTATCTGATTCATGTTAAATTTCTTCGCCACTTTATGAAGTGTATCCTCAGTGTCTCATAATCAGTTTACTGTTTCCAATTTGATTCATTTTCTTGGTGCTTCATGTTTATTGAAGGCCACTGCCCCTGGTCTGGAGGGAAAACTTGGAAAGATATCCCCTGCCCATGCTGTTGCTGGCCACATTGCTTCCTATTTTGTGGACAGGTCAGTGGCAGTTAATTTCAATTATATTGTATTGTTTGTTTGGGTGGGTGGGGGTAAATGGGGTTTGTGTCTTTTAGCATTCTCTTGACATTGCTCATCTATATGATGTATTAGAATTTTTATCCTTCATTGATTTTGGTGCATTAAGTTTACATCAGAAGATGTAGATATGAATCTTTGGGGGGTAATATACATTTAACTGTAATGTGTTGATATTGAAATAAATTCAGTCCACCACAGTACGAAAAATGTCAATGTAAGTCTGAAATAGATTGACGTCTAAATTAATAAATAAGTAAAGTGAACCAAATGGGCTAAAGGATAGGATTATTGAGAAATACCTTGGACCTTTGAAACAGGGGCATAAATAATTGTTGTTTTGCACAGTGGTTTTCATTTATTTTTTATAAGAACTCTTGTACTGTTATGATATGCTACATTCTAATATTTTTTTTGAAATATTGGTAGTATCTTTTTTTCTCTATTGCGTTTTCTATTTGCCAAAACATTGCATGGTACGAAGAAACCTGCATAATATGACTTCTCCCTCTTCGAAACTAACTTAATCTGTAATATGCAAGGTCTACTTATTAAAAAGGAAGAAAACAAATCGAAATTATTTTGTATTGAATAGAAATATGATACTGTGGTCTCAATTTTCATCTGCACCCACTGTTGAACTTACTGTTTCAAAAATATTTCTTTAACAGACAAGAAATTTTAAATCTCTTTTCAGATTTCGCTTCAACAAGAATTGTTTGGTTATTCAGTGGTCAGGAGACAACCCCAACAGTGTGGCAGGTTCCTGATTTTCTTATTTCATAAGTGAATCCTTTTAAATCACTTATTTATGTCGCTAATATTTCTAAGTTGCTGATGCACTGGTGAATTCTCTTTTATTCCTTTCTAGCTCTGCTGTTGGCTGTTGTATTTTATCCTTTCATAATAATATGTTTTTGTTTGTCCTCTGTTTTTTAATAACTTCTGAGCTGGAAGCATTTTGGACCTGCAGGTTTAACCCTAAGTACCCCAGGGGATCTAGCAATCAGTCTTGGCACAAGTGACACTGTAAGTTGAAACAGAAATTCATAGAGTCATCTTTTTTAACATTAGTCTTGGCACAAGTGACACTGTAAGTTGAAACAGAAATTCGTAGTCATCTTTTTTAACATTATTGTTTTCTGTTCTCTTTTTCCAATTAAGAGAATGGTGAGAGGAGCGAAATGAGAGAGATAGGAATATGAAACATATGAAAATAGATAAAATTTTAAAAATAAAAATGTAGAAGGAAAATGAAGAGAGGTGGAGAGAGGATGTGTTACTTTACATCATCTTAGCTAAAGATAGAGACAAACATATGGGAGAAAGAAGGGAGAGAATGAAGAGAGGTTGGAGAAAGGATGGAGAAATGAAGGAGATTATATGAAACAAGAACTTAAAAAGAACAACTATTTGAAATTTCTTTTAGTTTTTAGTTTTCATTTTTTGTAGCATTTCATTACATTTTCTCCCTCCTTCCTCCCTTCTTCTCCTCCCTATTGTTACCAAATAATCCATTAACCAATTGCATTATCTTGTAGAGTGTAGGGCAATGATACCTTTCTTTAGAGGTATTCAGTTTAATCTTCATATTGCATGTTACAGGAGTCAAGACTAGAATCCCAATTGTTTTTCCTATATAAAATACTATACAAGCTACTATTTCTCTGGATTCTCACTTGCTCTCATCCACTTTTACCTGTTTCTCAGGTCATTGGGATTACTGATGATCCTCAACCTAGATTGGAAGGACATGTTTTCCCTAATCCTGTTGACACAAAAGGGTACATGGTAATGTTGTGCTACAAGAATGGGTCTCTAACTCGTGAAGGTACAACCATGTATTGATGCATATTCCTACAGTTCTAATTAAGATATATCTTCTAATTTCCTAGTATGACCTCAATCTTCATTTTAGATGTTCGCAATCGCTATACGGAAAGCAGTTGGGAAAAATTCGCTCAACAGCTTTCGTCTACATTACCTCTAAATGGTCAGTATGTGTCGTGTCTGAACTACTTTCTTTCTTTCCAGCCAAACGGAAATAAATAATTAACTACTTTCTTATAGGAATTATTGTCATCTGTTCTCTATTTCATATTGTGGTTTCTGCTATAGGTGGAAAGTTGGGTTTCTACTACAAGGAGCATGAAATTCTTCCCCCACTGCCAGGTTGGATTATTTTCTTAATTATTTGCTCCGTTTATACTTGTATTCTCTTTCTCACTTAGTGACTGAGGTTAGTCCATATTTGGTATCTCCAGTTGAATTGCCCTTTTTTCTGGTTGGTTTTCGATCAACAATACTTGTTATGGCATGTGGCAGTTTCCAGCCAAATTGTAATTGGAAATAGTTGTTTCTGATCTATTTATTTGCTTTGGGCATCAAGTAGGCTGATGCAGAGGTAAATAGTCAAATGGATTGTGTGCTGCCCGGGAGCTTTAACAATACATTGTTGCTTCTTTAAGTCTTTGCATGTTAGCCTTCCTTTTCTTGTTTTTGTTTTTTGTTTAAGAAGATGTTATTTTTGGGATTCTATAATGCTTGGATATCCATCTGCCTTTATTTCTATTTAATTTTATAAATTCAATCATAAAATTAAGCAGCAAATGATAAGCTCTAGTTTATGCTTCTAGTTGGTTTTCACCGCTATGTTCTTGAAAATTTTAACGGTGAAACTTTGGAGGGCGTGAATGAACGTGAAGTGGAGAAGGAATTTGATGGTGCTTCTGAGGTTTGTATTTTAAAATCGAAATTGCTCACATAGTTAGAGGATATCCTACATGAGCTCTTCCTAAGAAAGACTAATTTACAAATTTGCAGGTCCGGGCAGTAATAGAGGGCCCGTTTGTGTCAATGCGAGGTCATGCAGAAAGATTTGGAATGCCTTCTCCTCCAAAACGATTAATAGCCACAGGGGGTGCGTCAGTAAATCACTCCATCCTGGGCATAGCAGCTTGTGTTTTTGGATGTGAGGTCTACACAGTTGAAAGACCAGGTAAGCATTGCATCAAATATCTATGCATCTGAATCTAGGCTACTCAAAAAAGTTTATCTCCCAAGTCAAAATGGACAGTGGTCTTGATACTTTCCTTGTTTTACAAGATTGAACTTTGCTTGTTGGAGAGATCACTGCAACTTATTCTTTCTTTCCTTTTTGTGCCCTTTATAGATTCAGCTTCTCTAGGAGCTGCATTGAGGGCTGCTCATGGTTGGCTATGCCACAACGAAGGAAGTTTTGTGCCCTTCAAATGCTTGTATGAGAAGAAGCTAGGGAATACATCTCTTAAGAGCAAACTTGTAGCAACTCCAGATACACATCTAGTTCCGAAGTACGGGTTGATGGTGAAGAAGAGACTTGAAATAGAGAACCGCCTAGTTGAAAAATTAGGACGTCTCTAAGATTTCATTTAGTATAATATGGTTTAATGCTGGGATGGGATGCTTCAGATTTGCCTTGTATAAAAAAATACCTAAGATTCTAATCCTTTCATCATTTTGGTGTTGGTAAATGAAACTCGATGGCTGTCACAACCCTTTTTTCCCCCAATGAAAATAATATTCAGTCCTTGTTTAGCTTTTCAAATATGATTCTTATCTTGGATTGAAGTACAAAAGTTCCAATAACTTGTTTACTTGCATGGAATGATATTAGAATTATTCTCATCCCTTCCTCCATGTGTATTAATATATACACAATGGAACAATTCCAATTCATGATTTACCATGTGTCACACGAATTAAAAAAAAATTATGTGGGTTGCAGAAGCTGGCAGCAAATAAAACCAAAATTGATTAGAAGCAGAAGCGAATATAACTAGTGATTAGAAGAAAGTAGCAGCAAATAAAACAAGATTGATTAGAAGTAGTTGATCTCATCATATCCATTCATTCTTCTTTCCCAGGTTCTTTTAACTTTCACCATTCATAATGATATATTGGATTGCAGAAGCAGCAGCAAATAAAACCAAAATTGTGACGCCTTTAAAATTTCATTTTGGGATTAGGTGTCTATGGAATGCTTCAGATTGCACCATTCCATATTGCACCATCGAAAGGAGAAAGACTTCCGTGAAACGGGTGCTAAACGGGAACAGCACCGGGAAAGCAAAACATGGGAAGAACTCAATGAAAACTTAATGCTTGAGATCTAGTCTTTTCAGAATCTAGTCCTCTTGCCCTTATGTGAATAATATAAAGGCCAAGTTTGGGACGGATGCTTAGTTTTCCATACATAATTTCTTATTCTGAGTTAAATTAAGAATACCTTAACCCAATAAGCATTATTCATATATGATAGATTGCAGAAGCAGCAGCAAATAAAACCAAACTAACATAGAAAATAAAACCATATACTTAACATAGAGAAGTCTCTGCTATGAAGATGCATAGCTCACATACACCAGCCACAAACAGCATTCAATACAAAAACATAGAAATACCACAACACATAAAGGCATGAAGCTCAAGACTCTCAGTAGTCATCTCCTTCATCGCCATCATCTCCCTCAGCAGACTCAGCGCCAACCTCCTCATAATCCTTCTCCAGAGCAGCAAGATCCTCACGAGCCTCCGAGAATTCTCCTTCCTCCATGCCCTCACCCACATACCAATGCACAAAAGCACGCTTGGCATACATCAAGTCAAACTTGTGATCAATGCGAGAAAACACCTCGGCAACACTGGTGGAATTGGAGATCATGCAAACAGCCCTCTGCACCTTGGCAAGATCACCGCCCGGAACAACAGTGGGTGGCTGGTAATTGATACCACACTTGAACCCAGTAGGGCACCAGTCCACAAACTGGATTGTCCTCTTGGTCTTGATGGTAGCCACCGCTGCATTCACATCCTTGGGCACCACATCACCTCGGTACATCAAACAGCATGCCATGTACTTGCCATGGCGTGGATCACACTTGGCCATCATAGAAGCCGGCTCAAATGCGCTGTTGGTGATCTCAGCCACCGAGAGCTGCTCATGATACGCCTTCTCAGCAGAGATCACCGGAGCATAAGATGAAAGCATGAAATGGATCCTGGGGTAAGGAACCAGGTTGGTCTGGAACTCAGTCACATCCACATTCAGAGCTCCATCGAACCTCAAAGAGGCCGTCAGAGAAGAAATCACCTGCAAAGCAACAAAAACCAACAACCCATCAGTCGTCAAATCCAAACAAATCAGAATCAGTAGCGATGCACATAAGGTATTTGGTAAAATACAATCCATCAGAAGCTAATGCACCAAAGACGCTTGATAAATTACCTGAGAGACAAGGCGATTGAGATTGGTGTATGTGGGACGCTCGATATCAAGAGACCTCCGGCAGATGTCGTAGATGGCCTCATTGTCGAGCAACACAGACACATCGGTGTGCTCAAGCAGAGAATGGGTGGAGAGAACACTGTTGTAAGGCTCCACAACAGAAGTAGAAACCTGAGGAGAAGGGTACACAGTGAAACCCAACTTGGATTTCTTTCCATAATCGACAGAAAGCCGCTCCAGAAGCAACGACCCGAGACCCGACCCGGTACCGCCACCAACGGCATTGAAGACCAAGAACCCCTGAAGCCCGGTACAGTTATCAGCGAGCTTCCTGATGCGGTCCAGGCAGAGATCGACGATCTCCTTGCCGATGGTATAGTGGCCGCGGGCAAAGTTGTTGGCTGCGTCCTCCTTGCCGGAGATGAGCTGCTCGGGGTGGAAGAGCTGGCGGTAGGTGCCGGTGCGGACCTCGTCGATGACGGTGGGCTCCAGATCGACGAAGATGGCGCGAGGGACGTGCTTGCCGGCGCCGGTCTCGGAGAAGAAGGTGTTGAAGGCGTCGTCACCGCGGCCGACGGTCTTGTCACTGGGCATCTGGCCATCGGGGCCAATGCCGTGCTCGAGGCAGTAGAGCTCCCAGCAGGCGTTGCCCACTTGGATACCGGCTTGACCAATGTGGATTGAAATGCACTCTCTCATTTTCGCTGAGGGTTGGGGTTAGGGTTTTGGAAATGCAAGGATGTTGAGGAGGAGGAAGAAGGAGGAGGAGAGGCGGCGTTTACCAAGACGCCTTCGTTTTGGGTTGGGTTGTACGAGATTTAGGGCTGAGGCTTGTGGTTTTTAAAGGGGGAAAAATCTAATTGGGGTTAGTTGACCGGAGGCTGAGGTGGCTGAGGTTAAAATTAGGGTTTGCCAGCTCTGAGGAGAGAGAGGAGGTGGATGATTGGACACCCTGGCTGGCCCTTAACTACTAGACCGTTTAAATTTCAAATTTAGATATTTTCTCCCAAAAAAATTCAAATTTAGATCTGGCCAAAAAGAAAACAGAAATAATAATAATAATAATATGTTTTAAAATATGGAAATGAGTAGTAATTAGTGGTGGCCAAGTGGGGTAGTGTCAGCTTGGATTGTTTTGTGCTACCAGCATGATGCGCTCTACCCCAGCAAATAATATCTTTATTTGGCTGGTTTGGAATGGAGCGCAAATTACTCTAACTTTTCCACTCATGTTCATGTATACTTTGATGAAAATATTATAGTAAAAAAATTTGGCTAAATTGTAGCAATGGAATCTGAATTAGTTCGTAAGTTATATTTTTCGTCCTTAATTTTTAAAAATAGTTATTGTCGTCCTTAAATTAGATTAAATATTATAGTAAAAAAATTTGGTAGCAATGGAACCTGAATTACTTGGTAAGTTATATTTTTTGTCCTTAATTTTCAAAAATAGTTATTGTCGTCCTTAAATTAGATTTTGTGTTACAATATTGGTCTTTTCCATTAAATCTGTCTATTTTTTCGTTACTCATGACTTAATTCTGATTTTGTGGGTTAACTTGAACTCTTTTAGTATAAGTAATGTCATCCCTAACCTTAATCTAGGTAATGTTCTTTCAATAAATGCATATGCTATTAGATAGTGGATTTAAACCACACATTTAAATGAAAATCAATTGATTTAGTATTCCATTTTTCATAATATGGCAATATTATTGCAAACAAATAGTCTGGAAGAATATTTTCGATCTTGATTCAGTAAGTTTATTTTCACGAGAATGAATTTATCAACAGGAGTACCATAATTCTTTTAATAGCAGTGATTTTAACTTTGTAAAAAATGATCAAATATTTTATTTTGTTTGTTTCCTCTTTTCATAGTAAAAAATAATAAATAGTAGACTGTAAAAAGGAAGAATTTATATATGGCTGTTTTACGCTTTTGTTTTCTCTAGTTTGAGCAAATTTTCACTCTAGTTCGGCCAATTTTAGTCATGTAGTGTGCATACTTTTACAATTTTAGTCACATTCACTAATCCAATTAAAATTGAATGAAAATGTAATGTGACAACAGTTGCATGGGCATTTTTGACATTTCAAGTGCGATGTGTGAGAGCGTACTCAAAATGACATTTCAAATTCACCAAGAATTTACCCGGGAAAATCTCTTACTTTCCAATTAGGGTTTCAAGTTCAACTCACTCGTTAAGACATGCTTTCTTATAAAATCAACACACATGAAAGGTAACGGTCTACACACGAGAAATGCACATGTTGCCCCATCTTTCTTCAAATTACTATCTTCAATTTTATAAAAGTTAACGAGTGGTACTAAAATTGTAAAAATAAGAAAATTATGAGGCTGAGGTTGAAGTTTGTTCAAACTACAGAGACTTCGTGGGGATTCAAACCTGAGACCTCTAATCTGCAAATAAAGGTCATGTACTTATACCCCATTGACCCACACTTGCACCCTTAAACTGGGACAAATATTGCTAAAGTTCTTTGTTTGGGAAGTTTAAGAGAGAATTTTTAATCTTAACATTCAACCTAAATACATTTTTTTTTTTTTTTTTTTTTTTGTTTCTAAACCCTTGAGATTTTTTGTAGATTTAAAACTGAAAGCAACCCCTGTAGAGCAAGAAGTCCTTCCCAAAAACTGTAATTGAAGCTAATATTAATTTTTAAGTGATTTGTAGGGTAAAACGTTAATTAAGTAGGTGAGCAGTTGGGCCACCAACAGACAGGTGCTCCTCTGTTTCTATCATTGTGTTTAAAATATCCAAACCTAACCTGAAAAACATCCAATCTTGAGGCCCAATGGTAATGCTATCACCTACATGCTGGGCTGAACAAAAATCATAACAGACCAGTTTTTTTTTTGAGTGACCAGTTTGTTTTTTTTTTTTTTTTTTTTTTTTTTTTTTTAATATATTTTTTTTTTTTTTTTTTAATAATAATTTTTTTTTTTTTTTTTTTTTTTTTTTTTTTTTTGAAGGAAATCGAAGAGTTGATTTAACCTATCTTAACCTTTTTCCTACATGTCAACGAGGTCTAGCTCAGTGAATAAAGGCCTTAAATTACATACCTATGGTCTTAGATTTGAACACCCATGACACCTTAATAGCGTGTGTTTAGAAAACCCCCCTTCCTCCTTTGGCTCGTCGGCTCAATTCCAGAACATGAAAATAGTTTTTTTTTTAATTTATTTTTTATTTTAAATATCAATGTTGCAAACCCGAACATCATCCAGACACCAAAACATGCAAGAAGCAAACAAACAACACATGCTCAATTAATTTCATCAACCAATTCCGGCAAAAGACCCTGCTGCTGGCTGATCGGAGCCTGCTAATTTCACATAAGATCAAATTGGGTTGAAAGAAAGCAGAAAGCAGTAACTTGCTTATTTAGTTAGCAAAAAGATATAATTTACCTAATAACCACAATTCACAAAGGCATATTTTATCCATCTTTACAGGATCTCAACTTCCTAATCAGGCCAAGGTCAGGCATCTTGTCTTGTTTGCCGCCTTCTCTAGAGAATATGTATGTCCTATGCATGTAAATGGTATCTAACCCTATAAATAATCAAACAAACAAACAAATGGCCGTACTAAGTACATTTATACTCTATTCTTTTTCTAAATTATCCCAATAGTCTACAGGCCAGGCTTCAAGACAATAGAGCCATAGTGAGATGATGGATGTATCAAACAGATGATGGCTGCGTGAAATAATGTAGGAACGGCTAAGAAGGAAAAACAAAATATAAATTTCTTGACTGTGAAGTTCCATATCAAGTCACAAAGTGATAGTTCTTACCACTGTGACAGATTTTGGTAGGTAAACTAGTGTACATGCATAACCTTTATGAGTAGAAATTGCAAATGCTTCATCATATGCTCTTAAGGATGAAGCTTAGACAGAAACTAAACATGTTAGTAATGTTTGGGAGGTGAATTGCATAAAGGTTCACAGAAATTGACTCACTACTTAATCTTTATACTGAATTATCTGAGAAGACAATTTCAGTTGGTAAACCGGAAAAGGATTATGATAATTCCTGCATTCTAAAAGAAAGTAAATTAAAGATACAACGGAATGTATCCGCAATCGAGAATATGCAGATGACCTTCAGCAAACTGCTGTCAAACAAGGAGAGAATTTAAGTATGACTCTGGTAAAAGTTCAGTCATGCCATGAGTGGAATTGGTTCGAGAGTTGGGAACAAGTGTTGAAGCTGCTTTGTCTAATGAATAGACATGATGGAGACAGCAAAGTTTAGCACAATCCAAAGGCAAAAGACAATTTTCTTTTACTAACAAACAACAGCATACACAGTTGACAATCTGAAATCGCTAAGCAAGATTCAAAACAGAGAAGACACTGCAACTAAAACAGAGAATGATAAACAAAATTCTGATTGTTATTTCGACATGATTTACTTACCCCTTCTATCCATTAGAAAGAAAGGCTCAACTTATAACCACACCCTCTAGGATGGGCAACATTGAGCCAATAGAGTGGGGAAAAAGAGTTAAAATGTTGAGGATTTTCACTGCAGCATTTCTGATTTCAGAAATTTTTTCTGCACCAGACCTCAAATATAAGATTATACTCCTGATGTGGGAATAAAAGGAAAACACTATTACAAGCTGAATGAGATACAGTGACAAGAAATTGTCCAGGGTAGATCAACAGCAAGCTGCAATATATGCTGGACCTGCTCGATCGATTAACCTCTTTTCCAACGTATGTTGAACACAAAATGCCAGAAACTAATTATTAGCTTAGGAAGACTACACAATGGTAAAAGAATCAGGCCCAAATGCCCAGAGACATCCATGCAACACATTGAATGAAGTGGTTCTACTTTTTCCACTTCCACCCATCTGTTAATAGACCAGTGAAAAAGGAAAGATAACCAACTCAAATGGTCAAAGAAAACATATGCAGTAATTTCTAAGGCTTCTAGAGGCAAACTGGAACAGTTTCATTCTCAAGAGGCAGTTTTCCATCATGAAAGCCCTTATTCACTTCAACAAGCAACAGACATTCAATAATTTTTCATATGATGTTGAGCAAATAAAATGTAAAATAAAGAGAGACTAATATGGAAAAAAGAAACTAACACAACAGGGCAAGTCACATATAGAAGAAGTTAAGAACTATACCTCTTTTTTCTTTTTTTATAAAATCAACTCAGTGTAAGGAAAATTTGGGGAAATATAACATACAACTTCATCATCACATCATTATGACCAACAACCATGAAAGTCATAGTCATCAACATGCTTCCCCCACTGTCTTCTTCGTGACATTTGAGTGTGTGGTGACAAATACCCATGATCGATGACGAACCGTATGCTCCTCCTCCGCTCTCTAGAATTTCAATTAACCTTTCACTTCAAAAAAAACAAAATAGAGAAAAAAAAAAAAATAAAAAAAAAAAAAAAAAAAAAAAAAAATAAACACAAAAAAAAATAAATGGATGAATTTTTTGCCTTTAGCCTTTTTTTTTAGAGAAAAGAAATATTATATAAATGAAATTTGCCTGGCTCCATCCTGTTTGCCCTTTTCCAACCAATAAAGGTTGGATTTTTCTCCTTTTTACAGAGAGAAAGAGCTACATTGTAGTGCTTTCAGTCTGTGAATGCACGAAAACGTCCCTCGAAACACAAAAGCATGATGAGAAGGTACCTCAAGGGCAACTGGGTCACTGCACAGAGTGGGAGACAAAGGGAAGGTCCTGTCTTCCACCGCCATTGCAGAACAGGAAAATGGGTAAAAGCCAAACACAGACACCTCTCTCTCCCTCTCAGTCTTTTATAAAAGCTATTCTGGGTTGTTGTTCTTGCTTTTGTTATGGGGTTTTGAGAGGGGGAGAGAGAGAGAGGTGGAGAGGGAAAGAGGAGTGGGTTATTGTTGGTCTATAATAGCAAATTTTATTGGTTGGGGGGAGGTAGTTTTTATGTTTTGGCAGGCATTACGCTTTTTGGATTTGGGGAGGCCGGTGAAGTGCCATTTTCAACTTTCTCTTCGTTTCTTTTCTCCTTACAAACAAACACTCACCCTTTTGTCTTCTTTTCTTCTATCTTTTCCTTTTTTATTTTTTAATGTGATAAGATAATATTTGACACGAAATGATAAATTTAACCGACAGAAAGATTGGTAATTAATTAACACAAATTTTGGAAAAAAAAAAAACACAAATTCAATTTCAATGAGAATATTGCTTTCCTTCTTTTTTTTCTTGGAAGAAGATACTTATCCTTCCAGTAAATCACGATTTAACACATGAACAAAAATAATTCATAAAAAATATAAAAAGAAAAATATTTGCATACGTTATACTTTCATTGGCAAGAATGTAGGAATTTATACTTATAAGGGAAGGAGGGGAGTATTTTCCCTCTCATTGCCCAAGTGCAAAGTGCAGATCATTTTTTTTTTAGTGTCAATAACGACTCTAAATTAATCCCGAATCTAGAGAAAGTACACTTATTGATACACATAATAAATAGTGTACGATAATACGACAAAAATCCGGCTCAAAGAGAGATTGGCAGTTAATAACATAAATCTGAAGATAATAGGCAACTTATACGGATTAAAAATAGTGTATGATATTATGACAAAAATTTAGCCATGAGATAGGTAGGCCAGTAGGTAACGTGAATCCAAAGATGATAAACATGCTAATACGATAGTGATTAGTGTACGATGATACAACAAAAACTCGATCGAAATAAAGATTGATTATTAATTAACATAAATTCAAATGGGTGATGCTAGAGGCACCAACTTTGGGCACCACCTTGGGCATTAACTCCCTAATAGAGGTGGAGCCCGCCAATACACCAGGTCCCACGCTCTATTAGAGAGTTGGTGCCTCTAGCATTTTCCAATTCAAATATGATAAACTTGTTTTTATACAAATAATAAATAGTGTATGATAATACGACAAAAACTCAGTAGTTTAATGATAGATTAACTATTAATCAATGCAAGTCTAAAGATGATAAACTTCTTGTTTTGTATGATAATACGACAAAAATTCAATCCAAATAAAGATCAACTATTATTGAACGCGATTCCAAATATGATAAATTTCTTGATATGAATTTTTGATGCTAAAAAATGGACAATCAAGATTGAACCCAACTTAGAGATGTAAGGTGTGATGGATGATGTGTGAAGGCTTAGGCCTTCAGCAAGTGTGTGAAGCCTTAGGCCTTAAGAAGGCAAGTGATTGCCTTAGGCAAGTAATGACAAAAGGAAAGTAAGTAAATATACAGAAGACAGACATATGTGGTTTACCTCTAATAAATGGGCTATGTGCACGGAAAAGTATATTCTCATTATAAGAATGTGTATTTACAAGGGGTATAACCCAAAGATAAGGGGAAGAACATATAGGATCCTTCTCTAAGTTGAGAGTGGTCTCCTTTTATAGGTGAGAGGGAGTTCTCGCTTCTTATAATATTATGCTAATGCTAAAAAATGGACGGTCAAGATTGAGCCCAACTTAGAGATGTGATGTGTGATGGATGGTATGTGAAGGCTATGGCCTTCAGCAAGTGTATACCTTGAGGAGGCAAGTGAAAGCAAAGTAAATAAATTTACATAAGACATATATACGTGGTTCATCCTTAATGAATAGGCTACGTCTACAAAAAAGTATATTCTCATTATAATAATGTGTATTTACATTGTACAAAGGGTAAGACCCAAAGATAAAGGGAAGAAGGGACGTGACCATTTTCTAAGTGGAGAGTGGTCTCCTTTTATAGGTAAGGGGAGTCCTCACTTCTTGTAATATTCCACTGAGGGACTTTTTTCCTTGCTTAGAGTTGCTTGGTCAAATATTGTATAAACAGGAGTCCCTAAAGTTCTCAAGTAAGTAAGTACTTCTTGGTTGATGACTTGTAATCTTCAATCCACTGACCGAGCAACACCTTAGCCTTCTTCCAAGTCGCATAGTGCACCATCTCCATTCCCCCAAGTCCCCAAGTAAGAAGGATATTTGATGGCGAAATTTGCATGTTCCTTAGTACGAAGTTTTTAAGCCAGTTCTCCTTACCAGTTGATCCCAGTATCTCGACGTAAACTGCCGAAGGGCAAAGTTCCGAAGGTCACCATAACTTGCCGAATGTCGGGGGTGTCGAATTACACAATAATGCGTCGAATGATAGGGTGTCGAATAACACAATAACGTGCCAAATGACAGGGTGTCGAATGGTATAATAACACATCGAATGACGGGCTGTCGAATGGTATAATAATGCATCGAATGGCACAATAACACGTCGAATGTCGGGGTACCGAATAGCATAATAATGCACCCAATGGCAGGATTCCGAACGATATAATAACGCGTCACATGGCGTGGTGCCAAATGACATAATAAAGCACATGCTTATACAAATAATAAATAATGTATAATAATACGACAAAAACTCAGTAGTTTAACGATAGATTAACTATTAATCAACGCGAGTTTAATGATGATAAACTTTTTATTTTGTACGATAATACGACAAGAAAGATCAACTATTATTGAATGAGATTCCAAAGATGATAAATTTGTTTATATGATAATGAATAGTGTATGATAATACGAAAAAAGTATAGTAATGAATAATGGATGATAATACGACAAAAGTAAGGAGACTTTTAGGAACTCCTAAATCTGAAGAGAGAGAAAAGACTTCTAGCGGCTCCCTATAATTTAATGATGTTTTATTTTATTTTATTTTAATTTTTTTAATTAATGCTAACTATTTTTTATATAATTTTTTAATACATATGGACTAATTAAAAAAGAGTTATAACATTTATGACTCTCTAAACTAGAGAGTATGATTGGAGTTAAAATTTTATAAAGAGCTCCTAAAATAGCGTTTATATATTTTTAGCTATATTTTAACTAAAAAATAAAAAACATGATTGTAAATGCTCTTAAGAAATAACATTTGAAACTTGGTTGCTTGAATTGAATTATTGAGAGTTGTATTTTCCTCATTGAAGCATAAGAATAAGTTGAGTTAATAATATCACGACATGAATTACATGTCCACCACTCCACCAGTAAAATACCCAATTTTCAAAAATAAATAAATTTCATATTTTTGTAACAGAAAAAAAACTTTTTAGAGTCACAGGAGGCAGTCCGAAAAAAAAATACAAAAAATAGTTACAGAAGGACGTGCTGCATCGATGTCGCCATCATGTCCTTCTGACTTTTCAGTGACGTAGAATGTCTGATTCCAGGTACCAAAAGTTGTTTGCAGATTGGCATTCATTACATTCAATGGCTATAAACGCACCTTGTTATAAAATTGCAATAGAAGTACCCTATCATTCTAGATCTAGGTTTGGTTTTTTTATTGGGTTATCAAATGCAAAGTCCCCAATTTGTATTCGAGTTTCATTTTGATTTTTTGATTTCTATATTTTTCAATTGTGTCAACTGTAGTAATTTAGTTATTTCGTCAAATTTATATCTATATAGCCGTTTATTTGAAAGATAAAAGTGTCAATTCATATACAAATTTGTTACATTACTAATGACGGAGTCATGAATTTAAGTAAGAGAGAGCACTCTTAAAAATTCAGACTCTTTCATTTATTACAATTCAAACGCATTTCACCACTCCACCAAAAATTCTCTCGGCCTCTACCATACTACAAATTCAAGGACGGTTGCAGTTAAAAACATTTATGTTATTTAAACAGTATTCTTTTTGTTTCTGGAAATATTAAAAATTGTTCCATGAATTTTTGTCTTAGTTTATAAAATTATAATGGGAGGAGAGGAAGTGTAGGACACTCAGCCAACCACACTGACCCAGCAAACAATGAATGCCATGCCACTCAGCCACTCATTTATGGGATGAGTGTTACATGGTGGGCACAACAATTGCTATAGAGAGTTTGAATTGTCACCTTCACATCCCTCTATTTGGATTTTGGAGGTTGTTATTTTTTCCTATAATTATCACCATGATTATGAATATGATGTGGTAATTTCATCTTTTGGTGGAGTTTGGACAGGTGCACTCTATTATGCTTTGTATCTTAATTTGTGAGTGTTCTTATTTGAGTTGAATAAAGAGGTTTTCAATATCCGATGAGAAAACAATTATTTCATTTTCACGTCTTAAGTAGTAACAAATCAAATTTTTTAAACTGAAGTTTTTTGACCTGTGTGTGGCAATTTGAAAAAAGTTTATTTGCTACTTTAATTATTTATGAAGAAAAAAAAATGCATGTTTTTAGGTTCAATGTAAGTTTTTATTTTATTTTTAAAAGAAGATTAAAATATGGCCCTTTTGGTTTGCATAGTAGTTTTTATAAGAACGTAATGCCCATGTTCATTTCTGAATGAGACTGAACTACTCTCGATGTCGTGTTTAGAAATAGTAACCGAGGAAAATACTTCATTACCATTCCAATTTTTCATTTGTGCATTAATAAGAATTAAAATGTCTTTCCATTTTCTACTATTATAATACCTTTATGAAAATAAGAAATATCAAGATCATAATTGGAGTTCACGATAGCCTTATTGAAAGAATGAAAATCCACCAGAAAGTTGAAAAGAAAAACCTTAAAATTTGTTGACGAAATATTATATGAATAATAACCTTAATCACTTGGCTAAAGTTGGTTTTAGCTTTGTTAATAGTGCATCTCAAATCCATGTTCAAGCCAAAAGTTGCAAAATTATCAGCAAAAATTAACTTTGTTTACGCATTTTTTTTATTACAATGAAAGGGAATCGAACATTAACCTAACTTAATACTAACTCATTTCTCGACCTAGTCTCGTTACTCGAGCAAGGACAAAAGTTAACATTAAGTTGGTTGAACAAATACGAATGCAGCTACTAGCTAGGTGATGTTGATATTTTTGTCCAGTATAAGCATCAATTATTATATTTGAGTCATATGTTTGTGAGCAAAATCCAGTATCTTTTACAATATGAACAGAATGACAATTGGATAAATGTAATGGTCACACACCGTCCACAATCAATCTTTCTTGTACTCATCTTATGTGCGTGTGTCGGCAAATCCTTTAATTTGGTATTTACAATCGTAGCAGCGTACTTGAATCACAAGCACTCTTCGGTTTATATGTTCATCTTCATCTACCATTTCCACATTTCATAAATTGACTTGATGAAATTAAAATGCTAATCAAACTTTTTTCTTAATAATGTTTAAAAGAAGACTTTTATGTCGAAATTTCTTTGACTCTTTGTGGTTATATGAGTGGAGGCCAATTTGTGTGCCTCATGTTATCGATAGACTCCTACGTATTTGAATTAATTCTTTGTGGATCCTTTGTGTGCTGACGGTCTTTGTGCTTGAATTATAAATGCAATATATCTTCTTCTTTTTCTTTTTCTTTTTTTAAAAAAACTTAAATTTCATCCTAATTTAGAGAAACAAATTCAAGCGATTTAGAGAGGAGGATTTACACAAATATTCATTGAGTGCGTGGGAGTTTCGAACATCTGCCCATATAGGTGAAGGTGGAAAAAAAACTCAATCAACTGAGCTATACCTAACCCCACCGCGCATACTCTTTTGTCTTTATGGTGCCCATAATCACAAATTAATCTTTTGGATCAACTTTAAAATTTTATTTCTCGATTTGGTATTCTATGAAATCATTTTATTCTTCTATTTATTTGCTTATATGTCTAATCAATTTTTGTATTGAGCTAAGTTTTATATTATGTTTGTACTGATAATATTTGAAGAGAGAAAAAAATTGAATCATTTGGATCATCAAATTATACTCATGGGCAAAACTTAAAAGACTAATTTATTAGCGGTGTGTGTGAAAATTTCTCTTGAATGATTGTTGTCAAATTAGGACTCTTGTTTGCTATTATGCACAGTTAGATGCGAGGATCTAGTTATGGCGATGCTTCAGTTAATGGCAATAGTGCGAGGATCTAATTACTTGTATTAAAAAAAAATTTGAAAAAGATTATAGGTTGTTTTAGGATTTTAATTGTTTGAATTTTGTGAACCTGATTAGAAATCATACTTAATTGTACTGATATGAGTTTTATAGTTTGTTTATTCGGCTTTTGCCAGAAACAGTATTGCTCTATTGGCTGATTGCATTTTTTTTTCTTATTGGAATTATATTTTTACTGTCTTGTAGACGGCTTTACTGTATTGTTAGATTTTATGTATTGAAATTTAGTATTTTGATACATATTTTTTAAAAAGTGATATCTGGCAGTGTAGCTTTTAGAACCCGCATGAAATTGAAAATGAAACCTGTCCAACTCCAAAAAGTCCCCACCATCTTTTCTGATTTTGATGTGTTTCTCCTTTCAGCATCTGAAACCGGCAAGACCCGTGGGCCAACCCAAAGCACAAGTCAGAGCTCATAAGCCCCACAGAATTGTTGTCCCAAACATCCCCATTTGATCTGTTTTTACTTTTTACATTTCTGATTTCTGTTTGTTTCAAATATAGATATTTAATGTGAAGCTGTCAGATCAAAAGGTGGTAGCTGGGAGCAATTGATTAAATGTTTAATTGTTAATAAATGTTGGTAAGAACACAGGCCACAGCCGGCCAGTGCCTTGTGTGGCTGGGGTCATTAACAAATAAAAGTAGATCAATTCTGCTTTGTCTTGCAGATTAGTAGTCTCAAACTCGAGACCTACCCTTTTCCTAACTTCACCAAAAAGTTTGTTGTGTCCTAACGTTACTGGACTTATGTCGTTGAAATTGAATTCAATAAAAAGGATACATTAAATATTTTAATGAAAGAAACCCCAAACTCATCTCTGCATTTCTCCAAATCCAAATCTACCATAAAGGGGCATCCCATTTTGAGAAACTCCAGCGGCTTGAGAATTTAAATTAGTGTAACAGAATTAAGACATACAGCCAGACAAAGAGACTCCGCCACCCCATTCTTTTGTAATCCTGTTTGTTTTGTTTTCTTGACATTTCTTGTTAGGAAAAACAATAATGAATGGGAAAAAGTTCACCATCATTGCATATCAAATATGCAATGCCTGGCTAATCCACATTTAGACCAACAGTTTTTGAAATTATACTAGTGTTTGTTTGTTATTTCTATTTCATAAGAAAAAGTTATAATCAACCGTAGCTAGCGTTTGTTTTATAGTTTTTTTTTAAGTTCAATTGAGCAATTTTTGTGCACGATCGTAACACCATTATATGATATAATTAATTCATATAATATACGTATAATAATTTTCTTTCTATTGGTATACACATCTCGGAAATTGTGTAATTTTTCCATAGAAATGAGATATCTATGGAGTAATGAGAAATCCATGAGCCCTCTTGGGCTTGTAACTCATCAACTAGGAATCAAGTGATTGTGACGGTTCACTTGT